CCGGCCCTCAACTACCACTTTTAAAAGGATGTCTCCCAAATATCTAGTTCTTGGCCAGAGCTCTCCTGAGGCAGAGACCTAAATATTCAGCAGCCTCTTGGACCTCTTCATTTCTGTGTTCCACAGCACCTCAAATGAGCATGACCAAGACAGAACACAGCATCTTCTTTCCCAAATCTATTTCTCCTCTTTTGTTCCCTATCTTGGTAAATGGCCCCACATCTACCTAACTCTCTGAGTCACAAACCTAGGAGTTGTTTTGGATTCCTCCTTCCTTACCCTGAATATTCAGCAGTTGAAACCTTGCTTACCTCCCAGGTTTGTGCACACCCCTCGTCTCTGTCCTGTCACTGACTTGGTTGCAGTGCTTTTGCTCTGTCACTGCAGTGACTGCAAAGGCCTCCCAACTGGTCTCCCCACCTTGGGTTTTACCTCCCTACCCACACCAGTCCATTTTCTATATGACTACCAGAATAATCCTCTATGTTGCAAATCTGACCATGTTATTCCCTTGCTCTACATCTCTCACTGGCTCCCTCTGGCCTTCTGGATGAAAGTCCAAAATTCTTAGCATGATACACAAGGCCCTTACTGAGCTGTCCTTGGCTCAAGCCTCCATAGATAACTATGTTTTACTTTTCTGCCTTCAAACTCTACAGCCTAATAGTGAGTTGCAGTTCCCAGAATATGAAACTCTGCCTTCCTGAATATTGTCTTTATCTTATCTGGCTGTCTCATCCTTCAAAACTCAGTTCAGATGTTACCTCCTCCAGCATCTTTTACTCACTATTCTCCCTCATCACTGGATTGGGGGCCTACCCTACACTCCCACAGTCCACCTCTACTTGTAACCCTTAACATATTGTATTGTTTCCTGTATCTCCTTGAGGGCAGTGACTTGGTATTTTTCTCTCTCTAGCTTCAGTTATCATCACAGTGCCTTATGCCTGTGGGTAGGCACTTGATAAATGTGTGTTACATGAAAAAATCTTCTCAGCTGCCTAAAAAGCTTGGACCATAATTCAAGGGCCAGTTTCAGTGTCTAACAACATGCACAATTCGATGAGCTCCCAGTAAGTTTCTTGAAATCAGGAAATGGAAAAGCAAATGAAGTATCACTTTAGGAAGAGCTAAAATCCAACCCAATTACAGATTAGAAAGGAATTAAAATTTCTAATCAACAGTTTAGAACTACCAAATGCCACACAGGTAGGAGAAATACTAAGCTATAATTGTTCCTGACAAAAGGCTTCTTAGTTTTCAAAATGACTCTCTACTGTTCCTTGATCTGGCGTCCTTTGATAGCACTGACTGCTATAACTTTGGATCTCTGTGTTCATTTTCCTTAGACCACTCCGGCTATCTTTGGGTCTTACCATCTGAGGTTAAATTTAAAATTTATCAATTCCAATTTGTCAGTTCTCCCAATGTGTGAAGCATTAAACACAATCAGGCATCAATATTTATTAACACAAGACAAAGGAAACACATTCAATGAGTTAATAGAACACTGTCCAGCCAGATGTTAAATTTAAAAATGTATATCTAGTCTAACTTCCAAATAAATAAAAAAACTTTATACATAATTACACAGTACTATCGTTTGAATTTGACACTGGTAAATATCTTGACAGAAAGTAAACAAAACAGCGTTTAGGACTCAAAAATTATTCTTATATCTTTACACTCTCTTTCTCTGGACAAATAACATGGCCCATCTACATATACCTAAACCAGAAATGTTGTGTGAATGAGAAAGAAAAGGCCTGTTGTGTATTTGGAGTACTGCAGCTTCTTGCTCCAAATAGGCTTGCTTTTACATCAAAGCAGACAACAAAAACAACACTAAGGCATAGATCATGTTAGAGTTTGAAGATGAGGTGATAACTCCTCATTGCTTTAGTCTAAAAGGTTCCTGGATATTCAAGGAAAGTAATTTATTTGGCCAAGATATTGAGCACCATGCCTGGGGCAGAGACCTTAACAAAAACCTAAGGCCTCAGGCCCTTTTTTGAGTCAACAGACACAATAAGCAAGCATCGCCCAAGGACTAAAGTTAAGGAGACACACTCATATGACCAACAGACAGGCAATGGTCCCTACAAAGCCTGAGGCAGCACAACTTTAGGAGGAAAGGACTTGGTACTCAGTGGGACCAGGGCCCTTAATGAGGCAGGAAGTAAATAAAGACTGGATTCACTGATGCCCGTTAGCATGCTGGTCATTGCCTGGGTCTCACTGATGCAGGAGATGGCATTTGCGCAGCTCTAAGAATCCCTAGGGCCTAGGAATTTTCCTGAGGCAACCCTTTCCTGATCTACCTCAGTTACTTCTGCTGAGAGGCAGAAAGAGGTTCAAAAACTTTCAGATGAATAGATTTCTCTTAACTGAAACGGAAGCTTGCTATTAATTTAGTTTTCTTTTTCACAGGCATAAAAACCCAAACAGAATGTGTTCCAGAGGATTGGCCAGGCTGATTTTATCAATAATGGTCTTTTGTGCCTGCCTTAAGAGTCAGTTCTACCACAAAGGTTCTACCTACTGTGGAAAGAGCAAGAGCATTGTGTCATCAAGAGAAAGTTTTCTTATCCAAGTCTGCAAGAGACAAGGTGTTCAATCTGCAGAGGACCCGCAAACACCTCTAAGGTAATGACTGGACTCTCTTCCCCTTCCAGAGGATACTTTACCAGCGTTACTGATGAAGTTCCCCAAAGACACATCTCAGCTTGCTTTCCTCCGCTAGCAAATTCTGGGAATATGCAAAAGATGAATAAACAGCCACAAGGCAGAAAGCAAAAACTAAAGATACATCAGAAGCCTGAGGAACCAGGAAGCTAGGTAATCAGCCCCTAAGTAACCGGCAGCTGGCCACAATCTGAGATTAACAGAGCATCTCACCTGCAGGAATCAGCAGAGATCTGCACTGTCCAATATTGTAGCCACTAGCCACAAGTGGCTACTGGAAACCTGAAATATGGCTAGTCCGAATTGAGATGTGCTTAATTAATACACACTGGATTTCAAAGACTTAGTATGAAAAAAGAAAGTAAAATATCTCATTATTAATTTCTTATATTGATTCCATGTCAAAATGGTAGTATTTTTGATGTCAATTGGGTTAAATAAAATATATTAAAATCAATTTCACCTGTTTCTTTTTACGTTTTAAAATGTGGCTACTAGAAATTTAAAATGACAGATGTGGCTCACATTATATTTCTAGCAGACATTCTAACTTGTGTAGTAAGAATTATCAAAGCAATTCAAACTGCCTATATTTTTCTCTTAGAACTTGTGGATTTTGTAGATAGAACTATTTAAGCCTCAGGATCCCTTGCTTTGTTTAGTGAATCATTAAAAACCGTTTTAAAAAAATTACTTTCCAAATAAGCAGGCTGTCTTCTCTGCAAATCAAACCGGTGCTAGTCACTGGGATTTCTTCCCCACTGTCAGGGGGTTTTTTTCTGTATATCCTAGAACCTCTTCCATCACGTGCAAATTAATTTCATCCAAAATGTTGAAAAGAGATCTGGAACTGGAAAATGTTTCTGTGGAGAATGAGTTGGGAGGAAAAGAGGATTAGGTAAAAGGGATAAAGTGGCTTTGAGTCACAGACTGTGTAAGGGCAAGCCCAGAGAGGGCTGCCATGGTGAAGGGTCTGGTCTTGGCATTATAAACCTTATTTTCAGGGTAATTACAAGTCTTAGAAATTGTTTAAAAACATATTTTAGTTTACATGATGTTACAGTGGGGTAAATATGTATTATTAAAATAGCCTAAATAAATATTTACACAATAGACCAGAGTGGGTCAAAGAGAACCATTCTGATTTAACAAGTTAACTCTGTTCACTTTCTTGTTTTTTTTAATTTTTAAAAATATTTCTGTAAGAAAAAAATAATAAAATTCAACTATATTCAAATACATGAAGTATCAGACCAAAGAAAGAAACCAAGCCGGAGGCCAGACTCAGTCCCAGGCTCAGCCCACTTGGCCCGGGCACCGCAGTTATTTCAAAAGAGTTTCTTGCATACATCAGACTTCCGCTATTTCAGCATAAGCCTGGCTATTCTGGTGACCCAGACTTGTCAGTTTTCAGAGGTGTAGTTACGTGGCCTTATGGTTTCACCTGACTGTTGATCCCACTGCCTTCCCAGCCTGTCATTCTTGTTCTTAAAATCCCTGCCCTCACGAACTGGAAGAACAGAGGACGCTCTTCAGAAAAGAGAAGCCACATGTATAAACTGTAGACACAGTTTACAATGGGCCTGGAAAAAGAGGAAATTCTAAATTCTTATGTAGTCACTCTAAATTTGAAAGACAGTTTCAACACTGGGGGCCCGAGTGAGTTATTGTAGTTCCTTAGAATAGGGAAGGATCTAATGAATCTGAGCTGTTTCACAACATTTTGATTCTTAAACTGAGATTTTTCAGCTTGTAGAAACAGGCTGAATTCTTAAAAGCTTAAGCTGATTCTGGGAATGCAAGCTTTAAAAACAAACATAGGCAGTTTTAGTTTATAAAATACACCAGCCAACAAGGACAGTACAATGTGCAGCGAAACCTGCAAACAATTTGCACTTTTTAGTTACCTATTCAATTACACCACATTAAGAGAATACTGAAATTCTCTCAGAGGAGAACTGTTTCTACTTTGGTTGTTATAACTATACAAGCCAATTCGATTTTTTAGCTGAATTATGTGTATTCTTATTTACATGTTTAAAACACTGGTCAAAATGTTTTACAGTCAAGAATTATATATATAGGTAATTCTCATATTCAGTGGGTTATCTGATTTGCTTATGGGTCGACTGAAAGTAAGCTGAGTAGTTCCATGTTAACAAAACCCTCAGAATGTCTAGCTATGGTAAAATGGCAAAATACAGTACAGAGCGGGGAACTGTGTAACTCAGACTACCCCCCTTATGTGAATTCATCAAACTCCCTTAAAAAATTCTAAAATGGCATTAGATAAAAATGCAAGTATATACAACAGATGAAAAAAATGCAACATGCATGTAATTGCTTTAGTAACGTGCTGCTCACGCTATGTCAAAGCTCATGACTAACAGACTGTTACCATTTTTTTCATTTGCCACCACAGAATTCCCCTTTCCTGTGTGTCCTGTGATTGCAGAATCCCACAGGTGAGATGAAGGATATAATGTAGCCATCGCAGCGTATTTCACATCATTTGAAAGCTTGCTCCCAGTCACGGGTCTCAGGTCCTTGTGGTTTTTCAGGGTGGCCCCCTGTATTCTCCACAAGGCTGGTTACATGTTATAAGCCACGTAGATGGGGTCTAACTGGTCAGCTAGGAAGCTGTCACGGAGGTGCATCCTCTGCTTCTCTCCTCTGGAGTTGATGGGGATGACGCCTGGGTCCACCACAACCACGACACCAACGATGAGGTAATGCTCTTCCAGGACCACATTTGTCACTAGAGGAACCAGATCTAGGGCTTCCTGCTCAGAGCCACACAGTTCCACAACCACCACAAGCAAGTTGGTCCACGTGAACACGGCGCTGAAATTTCAATGACATTCAGTTAACACGTCATTACATTTACCAGTCATCTTGTACAGTATCTGCCCAAGACGTAACCTCCTTTCCCTGAGAACTGCCTGCTTTTCTGGATCCAACCAGAAGGCTAGCAGCCACATCTGTAACGTATAAACTTGCCCTTATGATTACAGCTGAGCCAGCCAAAATCTCTTGGGAGTGCGATTGAAAGTTGTTAGCTGGTCACTTGAACTGAGGACGTGTGGACTGGAAAGTTCTGGTATAGCCAGGTGTGCAGAGAAGCACAAAGAATGGCTCTTCAGGGAGGAGAGGAGGAATGAAGTGGATGCCCACATGGTGCTAGCAAGTGAGAGAATAGTGGTTCCTGATGGCCTTGTTTCTACCTTTCTTGAGATCCAGAGTTAGAGACTTTTAGGAACCTCTGAGAGAGCCAGGTATTCTTTCCATTAACTCTTTATTGCTTAAGTTTCTTTCTTTTTTTTGTGAGGAACATCAGCCCTGAGGTAACATCCAAGCCAATCCTCCTCTTTTTGCTGAGGAAGACTGGCCCTGAGCTAACATCCGTGCCGATCTTCCTCCACTTTATGTGGGACACCGCCACAACATGGCCTGATAAGCGGTGCATCGGTGTGCGCCCAGGATCCGAACCTGGGCCGCCAGCAGCGGACCACATGCACTTAACTGCTATGCCATGGGGCCGGCCCTGCTTAAGTTTTTTTGAAGAGAGCTTCTGTTATTTGCAACATAAGAGCTTTGACTAAGATAATATTCTTAAACCCATCAGGAAGGGAGTTGGCCTGGCCATATCTGACCTTAGTGCCCCACATAAGTGTCTCTGCTATTGTGCCATAAAAGTGCCATAAGGTAGAGAGTGAGTGGGATCACTGGGTTAAAAGGTATGACCTGACTTGTGATATGCAGTGTTAAACTGCTTTAACAGAGTCCAATCATTAAAGAAAAATATACAATATTTGGTTGCATGAAAAGTCGAATGTCTAAAATTAGAGGGTAGCCATGGCACTCTGTATTATTGGGCATGGGCATTGCTCAGGTCCGGGGAGAGACTCTGACCAAAGTGAGAACGTCTGTAGACAAAGAAGCATCTGGAAAGCATGAGCAACCATTAAAAGAACTGTGGCTATTTAGCATGGAAAAAAAATGAGGAAGGACACATTGACTTAAATATGTAGGAAAGAAACTGGATGGATTCTGTATTGTCAAGAGTCCAGGATGAAAGCCAATAGGAAAAACTACAGAGTTTTAATTATAAGGAATTTTAAGTCAATATGAGGTTGGATGATTCTTTATCAGGGATAATGTAGGGGGAATGCCTGCATTCAGAGGGAAATTGGATGAGATAATAATAATGATCCTTTTCATCTGCTTACCATTTAACAGTTGACAACCACATTCTCATTTGATCCTCAACAATCAGCAAGTGGCAGAGGCAATATTTTACAGACGAGGGAAGCAGCCAACGTAGGAAAGCTAGGCCTTTAAGCTGGGTCTTTTGACTTAAAGTCATGGTTCTTTCCACCATACTACACCGATTTCTAGACGCAGATGATCAGCTAGGTCCCTTCCAATGGTGAGAGTCTATCATTAATAAGGACTCAGCTCCATACTAGTTCCTCAGAGCCTTGTCTGCCACAGCAGACGGCACACCAAGCAAGAATCAATCTGTTTATTTTCTTACTCCCCGTGGAGTTCTATGTCTGTAGGAGGTATTTGGTACAGACGGCTGACTACTTAGATCAACGTTAACTGATACTACAACTGAGGCGGGAAGCCTGTTCTGGGAGGGGAAATTTACCATTCAGCAATGCTCCTGTGGATCCGAGACACTGAGGTCTCAATATCGATCGGGTGGTATCGTAGTCCTCTCAGTTCCAGCGTTTCATCCAGAGCTCCCACCACATATAATGCATCATGACGCTCTGACAGAAAGGAAAAGAGAAATTTGGTCCATCACACACGTACTGAGTTCAATACAGTGTTGGAGTTAAGAGCACAGGGTTCAGACTGCCTGCCATGTCCCCTGGCTCCACCACTCACCGGCTGTGTAACTTTGGGCAAATTACTTAAGTTTCCAAGTCCTGCGTCCCCCTCTGTGAGACAAGGATAACAACAAATGGCTGCTGTGAGGATTAAATGAGATAATCCACATAAGGGAGTTAATATGATGCCTGGTACACTGTAAATGCTAAAACGTTAGCTATTATCATTATTATTACTACTCTGTGCCAGGATTGTGCCAAGTGCTTGGGAGGCAAAGATGAGAAAGCACAATTCCTGCTCCGAAGATACTTACTGTCCAGTGGGGGAGACAGACACACAAACAGGTGTTCCATCATAACGCGGTGGGCCAATGACAGGAGTGTGCACAAGGTGCGAGGAGAGCAGAAGACACCCCCGAGCTCAGCTCAGGGTTCAGGGAAGGCTCCTGGAAAAGCTGAAGCCAGGCTTAGCTCTTAAGGATAAATAAGAATTAGCCAGAAGAAGGCTGGGGGAGGGGACGGAAGCGGGGATTTGAGACGGAGAACAAATGAACATGTGTCATTGTTTCTAGACATCTTCAAGGAATCCAGATATAAGGAGTAGGATTACAGAATACAGAGAGACAGGTCCAGGTTATTAATAGGCTTGTAATCCAGCTGGGACATGGCAGAAATGTCATTCATTTTTTTTTTTAAAGATTTTATGCACACACTGTATATATAAGACTACATGGTTTATGTCTATCTAGATACTGCATTTTGAAGAAGAGAGATGATTTTGCTAGGTCTACTGAATACAGTATTTTCAGGAAAAGATAGATTTCTGAAAAATTTAGCAAAATAAAGTGCCAGAAGCTTTTGGAGAGAGAAGGATGAGGAGGTCCAGCAGAGCTCGCATCATACAAGAAGAGCTCATAAAGACTGAAATGACAAAAATGACAACAGAAACACAGTAGGTAACAACGAGTGAGTGCTTTCTATGTGCAGGCACCATTCTAGGCACCTAAATGCATCATGTCATTTAATCTCACATTATTGCCACGAGGCAGGAAACATTATCACTCCCATTTTCGAGGTAGGAAACTGAGAGGTTCAGTGATTGCTCAAGGTCACAGAGCAAATGGCAGAGGCAGGCTTCAAAACCAGGGCACCTGGAGAAGGAGGGATGCCTCCTCCTTCTCCAGTATGTTATCCTGCCTCCCCATGAAATATGGAGAAACTATGGACGCTGGTCGGTATGGAACAGATGCAAGGAGCTAAGGAGAAATGACCTGGCCTGATTCAGGCCTTTAAAGGCCAGTGAGTTATTTGTATCAGTTCTTGAAGTGCACGATACAGCTAGTGTTGGGTATTTTTAAATGGCTATTAATGCCATCAGGAAGAAAGATTAAAAGCACATAGCAGTGAAGCCATGACAGTCATCTGGGCAGAGGATGACCAGGGGAAATGCTGACACCAGAGTCTTGCCAAGAAGCAGCCTGATCCAATATGAGATGCCAAAGGGATGGAGTGCTTCAGCAAGACTGCTCCTCTGCACCGAGTCCCCCTCTCAGGGAATAGGGTGGTTCCTCCTGCTCCCAAAATGGCGTGCAGGAGAGGAAGAGCTAAAGGATGAAATACCTGTCCCAGGGGCTTATTCAGGCTGACTGAATAAGCCCACAGGGGCTGAGAGTCTGTGTTCTGGCAGGAGCGTTTACTCATCATCAGGCCACCTCTAGGACTGCCCGGCCGTGCTAACCCACAGGTCAGGGATGCTGACGTGCTGCCCTGGGAGCTTACTTCCTAGGTTCTCTCCATGGGGCAAAGTCTTACTTTGAATGAATATAAATTCATATCTGGGTTCAAGAGTTGTTGAAGAGAATAATTAAATACACAAACTCCACAATGCAAAGGTAGGCTGAGGAAGGCCAGACAGTGCTACTGGCCGAAACGCAAAGCGGGATGAAGGGGGAAAGGCTGCTGGGGAAGATACCTCCAGTGGCTGCTGTGAGCTCAGTCCGGCGGACAAAACCAAGGTATCCTGTCCGAGCCCAGAGCGTATGAGCAGCATCCCCAAAGCTGAGGCGAGTGTTGAAATGATCAGCTTGAAGAGTCTCACTGTCGTAGATGGTGTAATAGCCACTGGCCGTATGGGGACTGTTCACCCAAATCTGCAATAAGAAAAGGTCACATTTCACCAGGAACATTGAACTTTATCAGTTCAATTCTCTTGGGACTGATTATTTTGTTTTTTTAATCTCATTTTTATACTAACACCACCACCACAACTGAACAATAAAGGCAGCTGACATTTATCAAGTGTTTACTATCTGCTGAACAGTGAGGTAAGACTTTAAATGCCTTATCTCCATCAATCCTGACATATATGACACAACAATATAGTTTGCACTATTGTTTTTTTTCAATATGCAAAAATCAACTTTATTTCTCTATTACAGTGACAAAAATTAGAAAATAAATATGAGAAGAGAGTAAAATTATCAGATACCTAGAAATACATTTGACCAAAGATATTCAAGACCTCCACTTAGAAAACTGAGATTTTTAAAAACCAAATTAAAAGGAAAGATATACAATGTTCATGAATTAGAAAATTCAGTATCGTAAACATGTAATTTGTCCCAAGTTGATACATGTAATCCCAATTAAAATCCTAGTAGATTTCCTTTTTCATAGAAATTGACAAACTGATTCTAAAATTTATGTATAGTTTGCACTATTGTTATTCCCATTTTACAGATGCAAAAACAAGGAGTTAAGTAACTGGCCCTAGAGACAGAAACTAGGAGACCAACATCCAAGCCTGTGTGACTGCAGAGGCCATGCTCTTAACCACCATGCTACACTGCCTCCCTGGCTCATTTCTCAGCCACTTCTGCACCAAGGGGTCATTTCTGTGCTTCTGAAACTAAGGTATAAAGCCCTCAGGAAAACACTACAGGGTATCTGAAACAATGGTAATAACACTAGTATTTATTGAGAACTCATGTGACAGGCACTGTTCCATGTACGTTACAGATACAGGTATTAATGCAGTTGATTGTCAGACAATTCTACTAGGTAGGTGAGGTAGTTGCAATTATTATTATGGATGAGGAAACTGAGGCCCAGAGAGATTCAGGAACTTGCCCAATATTGAGAAGCTGGTAACTGGCAGAGGCCAGGTCAGCTGGCCCCTGCACCTACAACACACCTCCCAATAAGCTACAGGATGAAAGAGCAGTGTCCCTCAAAGATCTGGGGGAAGAAAAGTTAAGTCTCTTAAAATATTTTTATACTAATACAAAAATGTATACATTTTGGAATAGAATATAAAACTTGCATGAATTTAAAGAAATTTATATTTGTGGCTCCTTTCAGCTCCATCACTCAATAGGTGGGAACAGGTTGGATTTGTCCATTTTCCTTCTCAGCTAAGGGAACGTCAGTGGACAAATCTAGGACTAGTTCTAGTTTGGGTGCCTAAATCTCCTCTTGATCCTGGTCTCCACCTCGCCCTTCTGTCTATTTCAGTCTCAAGCCTTACAGAGAAAGACCGAAACTCTTTTAGAAGATGAAAATTCACAATGGGGGAAAAACTAAATCCACAGTTTCCCTGAGGTCTAGAATGTGAGCCCTAAAGTCTTTTATTACTGATTCTTCAGAGCCAAGGTGAAAATGGTACGTACCTCTCCAAGGTGAGAGTCTCCAACAGGCCCTTTGGTCTCGGGATTAACAATAACCACTTTCACTCCAGGTAAAATCTAAGAATCAGAGAGAAAGCACAAAGAAAGACTGGGTTCAATGAAATCTAACGACCTCTAGGAAATGCAGTTCCCTGCCCTCCCCACCCCTGTGAGGTACGCCAGTGCGCACAGGGCAGGAGCTAACTGAGGGCGCTCACTGGACTGTCCTCAGTGAAGACCAGAGGTATAAGATTCATCCTCAAAAATACACCAGGAAACCAACCAGTCTACGATCTCTTCAAAGGATGAGAAACTGCAGACCAGAACCGTGACGGAAAGAACCTGTAGAATAACTTAACCATGTAACTGCCCTCCTGCACAATTTGTCTTGCTCACTGGAGTGATGGCAGTAAAGCTGACAGCCAAAAGGGCAGCAGGGAGGGACAGCCTGAGAGACTCGGCCCCAGTCCACAGCCAGTGCTAGAGTGAGAGAAGCTTGAAGAGTAAGAGAGGACGGAGGTAGCTCTGCAGAACAGAAGACATCCATGTCTCCAGGATCATGCAAGATGTACGTGCCTGAGAGCTCCCTCAGGAGGAAAAAGGAAAAAACAGGTGCTGGCTGAGAGAATGGCTCAGGGCCTCTGGTTACCAGTATTCTGTCCCTTAAACCTCGCTTTTATCTTGGGTTTCTAGAGCATGCAGTTACTTGAGAAGCCCTACAGCAATTACCTAGGCACATACATATAAAATCTCAAAGAAAGAAGAGAAAAGGCCATTTCCGCTAGTCTGGGCCAGGCACTGCGCCAAGCTCCTGAGAGGCCCAGCTGCTAGCTGAGGCAGAAGATCAACCCAACTCCTCTGTGAAGAGTGTAAACGGAAGAGTGAAATTGGAGTAAACTCCCCAGGGGGTTAATCTGCCACTGGACACATTAAGCAGGATCCCCCCCTTTTATTTTTTTTGTGAGGAAGATCAGCCCTGAGCTAACATCCATGCCAATCCTCCTCTTTTTGCTGAGGAAGACTGGCCCTGGGCTAACATCTGTGCCCATCTT